ATAATTATATGGGTATATGAAAATATTTAAAGCGAAGTGGAATTTCTTTGCTTGGTTTTTAAAGCAAATTATAAGGGTAGAAACATGATAGTAATATTAAGTGGGAGGCTTTTCTTAGTATTATTGTCGTATTTTGAAAATCTCTGTTTGAATAGTATCATCACAGAATGATACAATTGCCTATTTTATTTACAATTAGTATTTTTTTTTAGATTTTAGTGTAGTTACTGTCTTCAGAAAGGGAGGGTAGGTAGAAGTAGAAGAAGAATGATCAGATATATTAAGCATTCACGGATGCAGAATCGTAATAGTCCATTTACTTCTTCAATAGCACCCCTTTTTACAAGAAGCGTGTAAATAGAAAGTCAAATAATGTTATAATTTTTACTTTAGATGTTTCTCACGATTTGGTTATTTTGAGTATATTATCTATGTCAAAACTATCTGATATAGAGTTACCAACACCAGAAGGTTTCCCCCGTAGACTTAGAGTTTCGATTTGATTTTCGTGTCCTTGTCCACCCCTTTGAGTTTAATATCATACTCGCTCTGATTGTGAGCGTAACTTTTATGTAGTTTGGTAAACAAATTCTCTGTATTATGTTGAATATATAAAGTATTTCGTCAATTCAAAAGTTTTAATGGAGTGAAAGTAGAAATGGCGATTCAATTAAGGTAGGTTCCTATGATATGAGTTGTCATGAATTCGAAAAATTATCTCGCATCCACAGAAAACTAAAAAAAGCCATATCGCAAGAGAAATATTCATATTCAAAAAAAAAATAAATGTAAAAGAAAAACGAAATCCAATGTGGGATAATGACAATTTCATAAATCAGTATCTACCATTTTCTGTATGTATGTTTAAAAGAAAACTTATTAAAATGTAACCTCGGGTCAGACTTCAGAGTATGATGATAACCGTAGTCTGAGACAATTGTGTTTTATTTTGTATCGTTGAAAACAATCGCCTTAGGTCGACCATTTTGATTATCTTTTTTATAGGTAGGAATCTCAAAATTCATTGGAATGTCTTGACATCTCCGTTGAGACCCATAAAGCAATTCGGGGGAATGAAGGAATAAAAAATAATCGTAAATAAAGAATCGCACCTACATTCATACATGTATGCGCGAAAAAACTCAACCCTACTTTTACTTTGCGCAGAGGAGTAATAAATATAAAAACACAAAAGTAAAATCTAATGAATGAATATTTTTTAATTGAAAATGTACCGCTGTACGTATAGAGCTAAAAATGATTCATCGTTGTTCTTAATTTACAAATTCCATTCATTAAACTGGAATTCCTACACTTGACTCATTTTGGCAAATTCTACGATTATTACACACACTGAAATGTGAGACTACCTACTGTATCACATGTATGTGTATGATAAATTCCCAAAACAACACTAGATATAATAGATAGCATATACCATATAGCATAAGTCATTCACTTCGCGATTTATTTATTTTTAGATACAAGCATGTAATCTTGAGAACAATAGGAAACTGTAGATTGGAGTTAAATACAGTCAAACTCAAAAACTCCTAACAATAAATGCAACCAGTTATGTTCGCGCTAGAGAAAATTCGTGTTGAGGAAAATTTTATGCTTTACCGTCAAATTTTTTAATTTTTGTTTCGAAGTCATCGTTTCCACGTATATTAGGTACTGTTATTAAGGGCACCTCTAATAATTTTATAATCTCAGATTACGATATCAAACAATATATGTAAAATACTTCATTCGTATTGTCTTTTTCGCTGAGTTAGAAAAATTAAAAATTTCGAGTTAGAGCTTGGAATAAATGTAAAGCAATAGGTATGTCAAAGGGACAAATAATATTCCAGTTAGAAAAGATTTCGAATTATAGAAGTTCAAATAAGAACTATCAAAATATTCACAATAACGATGTTTTCTTGTTTAATTTTATTTGTATTTTTTAGCATTTCGAGTTGAATTAAAATTAATAAATTCGTTTCTTTGTGTTTTGCAATGAGCATAAGAATACTACCACTTGTCATTTGTGAGTGAAATTCTCGTTAAATTTTAAATCGCGTACATTTAAAAGAGAAAAGGTATTGTACTAACATGAGCAATTTTGAGAAGGTCGAAGTTGATCACTGAAAACTACCGATGGGAACATTCCAAAAAATGTCACTGCAACTTCAACATAACATTGCTTAGCATCTTCGTTAGAAATAATTAACAAATTAATAAAAATTATAATCAAAGTAATCTTTTGGTTTCCTTTAAAAAAAGAAAGATTCTCGCCACGCCCACGGAAGTATGCAACCAAAATGTAATAATATTTATAGTTATAGCTAAAATATTCTAATGAAACGACCAAATGGGAACACGACCCGGCGTCGTCTGTAACGCGAAAAATAATTATAATCGGAAATACGTTATCAGAATACATACAGTGAATCACTTTTTTATTTGGATAATCATGTTGATTTATTTTTAATACGCAACAATGAGCACATCATTTTTATGGAGCCGGTAACGTATTGTATGTGATTTAATTCTTGAGTGTATATCAGCACCGTCGTCACAAATACCATTTCCCGATGAAGACTACAGATTAGAGAAATATGCAGTGTGCATTAACGCATTAACAAACCTATTAGTTGTTGACGAGCAGTCATTACTTACATTAGTGGCACGACATTGGGTGTAAAAACATGATCTTCATATTTATATAATAGTTGAAGGTGAAAGTGAAAGTGCTTCAAAAAATATACATAAGCATTTTACGCACAAGGAAGTGTAAATAATATCGACACAATATGGGAAAACGTTCTGAATGGTTATTAGCCGTTAGGGTTCAGAAGTTTAGAAAAGTATGTGAATTTTTTTCTAAAATTTCATTCCAATAAATACATACGTGTATTTTAAATCAGTGGCAGTTAATTGAATTTGTTTTATATCATTCAAATTGTGAAGAAAGATACGGTCATTAAAATTATTAAATAATAAAAGTTTTGAAATGCATTGCGTCTTTATCATAATTAGAATTATAAACAACAGACGTCCTGGTCAGTTCCCAATTGTGAAAGTACCTTTTTTATTTGTTTATAAATAGGTTCGATTTGAGTTTTTATTGAATTGCTTAGAACTTCAAATTTATTTAATGTGTCAAATTGTATAATATTTCAAGTTAATTTTGAACTAGATTCTGTTATCACTCGTGTAGTTCTGATAACCGTACAATAAAATAAAGTTTATTTGAAATAATAATCTTTGCCTTTTTATACAAAGTTGAAAAGCTCTATATTCCCTTGAACTTTGCTCTCTGGAAGGCTCTGTTATGTACCTATGCATATTATTTCAAATAAATAAAATAAAATAGGAAATAAGTGCATTTAGTGCTCGCTCTTGAAGTAATGACCAATTTTTTCGCGTAATATGTTCAAAATTTCCGCTACTCTTTATAAAAATTTATGCTTCCTATATGTATAACCAGAAGCAGCCTTACCAAAGTTTATCATCCTGTCAGCCAAATGTTAGTTCGTTTTATATTATTGCTACAATTATGTTCAGTTTGACATTTATTGTTGCCATAAAACTTGTTCTCCAGATAGCGCAATTACTACAAAAGGTCCTATAACGTATCATAATAAATTGTTGGCGCGAATCACCCTTTTCTGCTACTTACAAGTTGTAATGTTAAGCGTTGTCTCGCCCATCCATTAATCAGTTCATCAATTTATTGTAATAGTAAGATTAATAGTAATACGATATGTAATATCGTAAAACAAATCTTTGTTAATATAGTAGAACCTCTATAACTCGAACATCAAGGGATACGCAAAAAAGTCGAGTTATACAGTTTTCGACTTAAGGAGGATTTTGACTTAGGCGGATTTTGATTCGACTTGTAGAACATTGTCGGCAAATCCTTAAAGTCGATAATTTAGTTTTCTTCGAACTATAGACGTAATAAGTTTCAAATTAGGTTTAATTTAATTTAATTTTTTGAGTTATAGTGAGAAAATATATTCGCTCTTTCCCTACTTTTTCTTCTCTTGCATACCAGTAAAGATATAAAAAGATAGGAGACGAAAAATTAGAAGAAGTGGCTGATTTTAGATACTAGGAAGTCAGATAAGTCAGGACGGAAGGAGTAGTAGGGATATAAAGCAGAGGATAGCGCAGTTCTATGCTCGCGAACGATTAATTTAGAAATTCGAAAAAGATTGTTAAAGGTGTATGTTTAGAGCGCGGCGCCATACGGGTGCGAAACGTGGACAGTGGGCGCGGCGGAAAAGAAAAGGTTAGAAGCCTTCGAAATGTGGTATTATAGGCGAATGATGAGGATAACGATATTAGATAGAATAGGAGAACAGAGGACTCTATGGAAATCAATAAATAATAGGCGAAATAGATTGGTAGGACAGCTTCTCAGACATGAATGTCTAGTCAGAGACATATTAGAAGCAGAAACAGTAGTTAGGAGGGATAGAGATAGACCTAGGTTAGATTACTGTTCGCAAATACATAGTTAAAGATGTGGGTTGTTCTAGTTTTAGGAAAATGCAAAGTTTAGCCCAGTATAGGAAAGAGTGGAGGTACGTGTCCAACCAGTCTTAGGACTGACGACCTTATGATGATGAAGTGAGAAAATATATATCAAAATGGCTTGCAGGGACTCACTGATTATTTTGACTAATATAGGGTTGACATTTCGAGTAATCAAGATTTTAGGGCTTGAAGGGAAGGGAACAAGACATTTTTTCGAGTTTTGAAGGTTTTCGACTTATCGTGGTCCGTTTATATTTCATTAACTTCTGTTTCTGTGACTGATGTGTAAAATGATATTAAAGCTATGTCGTAAAAATTGTGAGCACTATCCGTACATTAATGAATTGCTACAATTTTCGAATCTAACGATTTATAATTCAAGCAATGAGCCGCCCATCAAATTGCCCACAGACCGTTAACATGCTCGATGAGTATAAATGATAATGGAATTTTCGTTTCGATTACAGGTAATTGCATTTATATGTGGGCTTATCGTTATCATATTAATGATAATGGGATTGGCGTCCACCGATTGGTTGATGGCCGCCGGATGGAGACAGGGTTTGTTCGTCCATTGCATAGAAGAGAACGCGCAACAACCTCTGCCATTTAACTTGCAAGATCCTCCAGGATGTTATCAATCCAGAGATTCCGGTAACTAGACAGATTTAATTTATTTTCATTTATTTAAAAATCGTCGATGATGTAAGGAAACTTTGTCTCATAAAAAAAATAGAAAGGCAATCAATAACAGCACCTATTTTTACAGTAAAAGCTAGACATCCGTTTTTCGTAAACAAACGTAACTTTCTTTAATGGAAGCTAATGTTCAATGCCTCAAAAATCGATATTGTACCGTTGCTGTTTGACCATTGTTGTCGACGACTTCCCCTGTAGAGGTGTTGTTTTATCCGCACGCTATTTTTAATTCGTGAATTCACGTGGATAGATATTGCTTGTAAACCTCGGAAACAAACAGTAGTTTATAATTTCTTTGGAAAAATTAATATTTCATTCATTTTACATTTCAGAATACAAAATAGTAGTAATGTAAGGTATAGGGTTGTTCGGAAAGTCATTTCGTTTTTTTTTTAACTTCCCATTAGGAAGTTATTGTAATTGGGTCGAAAAGTGAAATCGGAATTTTCATTATATTTCCACGTTTTAACATATTAGTAGCATGCTAGCCAATTTTTTTGATGATGTGTGTATGTACGTACGTTCGTATGTCAGTATTTTTTTCGTTTTCGATATCTCAAGAACGGATTGAGATATCGCCCTCAACCAAAATTTTTTCGAAAGATATTATCATAATGAAGATCTGAAAGAAATTTGAACGAAATCGGTCAAGCCGTTTTTTTTTTATAAAAAAAAAAA